AGGGCGATCTTAAATAATCTTAATACCTAAAAACTAATCGGCTTCCCCTTTTTCCGATACCTTAAACCTTATTTTAATCCCTTTAATAATCCTAAGACCGTTTATAGTATTATCTCTATAAAATAATATAAGAATATCGTCTATAAAGAATATAACGAATACGTCTTAAGCCTTAGTATAGAATAAGCACGGTTCTTCCGTACTAGCCTTTATCCTTAAGTCTATTAGGGTGGCCGCGAAGGTCTAGAACAATAGTCTACGCGAGTCGCGTAGTCTATATAGTGCTTTATCGAGCTCTAAGCACTTATCAGACTGCTTAAATCTATTGGGAAGTTCGTATATAATGGGCGTTCCTGTTTTACTTCTTTAGGCGTTAACGAAGGCGTTAACGATATTAAGTTACTTAATCTCTAGATTAAACTAAGTAGCTAGGGCTATAATAATATAAAAAAATCGTGTAACGAGTATTATTATATAGGTTCCCTTAATTATTAAGCTCTTCTATAGGTCCCCTCGAATATATAAGCGTGCCTTATATCGTTCAAGATATCCGTCTTAGTTAAACTTATAGGTAAAAACCCACTTTAACGGAAAAGGCTTTAACTTCGCCTCTAAGCGCTTAATTTCCCTTTATATACGCTTCTTAATTAGCTTATTTACCTCCTTCTACGCGGCTTCTTTAAACTATTCACGTATTAGGTGGTTAGTAAGCTCCTATTAGTGCTTTCGTATAATCTTTACATAGTCGCGATAAACCCTACCATCGATTAAGGGCTTCGGTAATATTATAGCCTCTTTTTTAGTATTTAAACGGGTATTTATTTTAGTATCGGCTACTCCGAGGATTATTAAATTAAAGGTTAGAAGCCCTTTTAGCCCGTCCTAGCGCTTTTCTTATAAATTAGATAAGAAAAAGATATAAGTTAAAGGTATATCTAGCTCTACCTAATACATCCGTGGATTAATCCGAATAGTCTTTCCTTAAGCACGGCGATTAGTGATTCTTACGCTAGCGTGCGTTACTTCCTTTATTAGTATACTCTTTTTCCTTTAATAGGCGGTCACCTTAGGAGTCGGTCGGATAAGTAGTCTAGATCCGGACGCTATAATACGGCTAATACTATAGTACGGATTAAGGGTAGCTAGTCCCTATACTATCGCTTACGTACTTCTTTTTATAGTTAAAATCGTCCAAGTATCCATATTAAGCTTTAGTATATATAATCTTACCGTATCGGCTATAGTACCTTCTTATATAGCCGCTTCGTTATCTTATTAGTCGGAAGAACTATTAATTAAGAGTTCCTCCGAAGACTATGGCTCTACGCTTATAACCTAAAGATTCCTACTCTAAGGATTAAGTATTACGCGTGGGGTTTAAAGTTCTATTACGGGCGGTTCGGGTATATTAGGTGTATTTAGTAGTGGCGATAAAACGTTTAATTTAGCCTCTACTACTCTTACCCCCGAGTTCGAACCCGTGGACTATACTTATTCTCTAAAAGGTATACTATCAATTAATCTACCCGGAGGGTAAGCCTATAGGATAAAGTCATTATCTTTATTTTCTTATATTTCGTAAGTTATAAGCTAGTTCCTTACCTTAGGCTCTAGGATCTATTCTACTTCTTCGAGCTATAGTTTATAAAATAACTACTCGTTAAATTATATATTACGTGTTATAATAACCTTCTAAAGCTATAGAATCTATACTCGGTAAATATTATAGGTAATATAACCTATAAGATACCTAATATATCCCCTTAGTTAAACCTTATATAGTTTCCTATTCCTCCTAGCCTCTTTATCCCTCGCTATTAGATAGGCGCGGTAGCCGTAGGTATAAATACTACTCTAATCAGGGTATAGGTCGGCTATATACTCTTTTACCGGACTTAGCGTATCATCTCTAAACTATAAGTCGAGGATTTCCACTAGGGATTTTTATCTATATCGTTATAAGGGACTTATACTATATAATAGCGCTCCTATTCTAGTGCTTTCTGGCTATTTATCTAATAGAATTCCTACTCCGTTAAGTATAGTATTAGACTTTATAATAATTAGTTAACCGGCTCTTTCGCTGCCTCCGTTCGGTTTATAGGTATAGGACAGTATAATTTCTATATCGATCCCTTAACTACTTGCCTATAGCTAGGTTATTAAATTCCCTACTAGATTAACAATTAAGGGCTTATTATCACTGCGTATCTTATAGATATATAATATAAACTGCCGATTAACCTATTATTCGAAGGCTTATAGCGCGTTATAAACCGTAACGCTATTTTCGAAGCTAAAGGTAGTACGTAGATCTAGCCGCTATATTCGTCCTTTATTATAAGAAGATATCGTATACCGTTATAGCTCTTAGGTAGCTCTTAAAGATCCTAATAAATACGCTAAAACGGTTATAGGGAGCGGTGTTCTAATATATATCGAGATATAACTTAATATACCTAGGTTCGGGAGTATATCTTATAGTCTATCCGCTTAGTTCCCTTAATTAACACATTCCTAGCATTACGAACTAATACTCATAGAGCGCTTAGTCTAAGATAGCCTGCTCTTAAGTGCTATAACTATTCTTCGTCGACTTATAGACGCGGAGGGTCGCGGGAAGGTTAGTAATATCGGTAAGCTCTTATTAGTCGATCGACTACTATAACTAGTATATATTAATAATCGTAATTAATCGAAATAATACTATATACTATTAGTTAGAATAATAAATAAAAAAAGAAGATAAAATTAGCTTATACTAAAGGATAGTTATATTAAAGCGTTAAAGTAGCTTTAATAAGACCACGCTTTTCTCCGCCGTTCTAAAGCGTAATAAGCAGTTATAACCCGAATACTAGATCCTAACCTTATATAATAGAGCTTCTGATATAATATTCGTGTAAAATCCCTCTATAATAACTATATCGTTAAGCTTTAAGTTAGCTTTCGGAGCACCTAAAGGTTTATTAAGGATTCCCTTAAGAAACTATTTACCTTTACTAATAATCGGAAAATCGGTTATACCGAATTCGATAGATCCCTTTATAGAAATAAAGGAACCTAGAATAACCAGGTCGATTAAGTTAATAAGGTGAGTTACGCCGTAATTATTGAGAAGAGTACTCTATAAGAGCGAATAAGGGCCTAGTCGGAGCGCGGTGTAGATTCTAAGGACCTTTTCTATAATGTAGATAAGGGCAGGATCCAGGATAGTTATAATAACCTTCTTAGGATATCTATCTCCCTTATTACTACCGCTCTCCGAGCTTTCCTATCCCTTTTTCGATAGTTTTTCGCGTAAGCTTTTCTATTTTAGAAGCTTAATCTCCTTCCGTATCTCCTTACACTACTTATTATTAATATAGGTATTAGATCTCTACTCGTATTTTCCGGTTAAAGCGTACTCTTATTACGGGCCATGGCCCGCGGAACAGTCCCCGGCAGTGGCCGGGACCAAGAAGCACGGACCCCTAGCGAGGTCCGTGCGATCCCACATATACTTAGCCGTCTACACACCGCGCAGACTTTTCCTTTCCTCCTTTCCTTCCTTAGTTCGAATAATCTATATTTTCGGCCTTAATACGTAAACAACTTTTGACAAGCCGTTACACTCTAGCTTATTATAGTGCTCTAGCTTCTATATATATTCGTGTTAATAGAGGTAATTAATACTTTTCTTCTTAGGCTTTTTTCCGCCTTTATTATTATCTAAGCGGTCTTTTAGGGTCGCGTAAACGCTATAGCGTATTCTATCCGTGGTTACAGCGTTTATAATAGCGTTAAACTCATGGCCGTATATTAGAAGATCGGAAATTCTATTACCGCGGACCTCTTTTATTATTAGCTTCTAGAGCTTAGTTTCTGCCTAAATAGGTGTAAACTTCTATTTAACTACTATAAGAAAGTTCTAAATAGTAGTGGGTCCTTTAATCTCGGCTACCTTTTACTAATATACGCGTCTAATAAGGTATTCTACTCCGTATACTATATAGCTACTTTAGTATTAGTTTAATAAGCGTTTTATAAATACTTTTCGTATACTTATTTTACCTTTTCCTTTATATAAATACTACTTAGAGCGAAGCTACTCTTTAGTTCCTTTATTATATAGCGTAACGTAAAGTATTTATTTTATTTTTCCTTATCGTAGCCGGGATATTTCTTAATAGCCTCTTCGATAGCTTATTAATAAGTAAAGATCTCTATAGTGGTTTTAAGTAGTTAATTAGCCTTATCGAGCGCCTTAATAAGGCGACCGAGCTTTTAATTCTAGGCTATAGTCTGCTAATTCTCGATTTCGGCGAGGCGTATAAGCTCCTATATTAAGGGCATGATAGTATTGTCGCCCTTACCTTAGGAATACTATTCGCGTAATTAATCTAGAGATTTAGGTATAATATACTTAGGACGGTTATCTAGCTAATCCTTTTAGCTAGGATCGAGTAATACCTAGACCTCTATCCCCTATATATACGATTAGATATAGAAGATCTAATCGGCCTATTACCGTGTGGATTTAAGGCGCGGGATACTAAGCGCTTTAGCCGTGATCTTAAGCTTATTCGATATAGTATTAAGTAAGGGTTTAGCGAATAAGAGCTTATTATTAGGAGAGAGAGCGTAGAAGGGCTCTATAATACTATAGAAGTATATAAAAATAAATATAGATAATAGATTAGCAGGAAGTTACTAGTTACTACTACTACCCGGGCTTATAACTATTAAATTAATGGGAGCCTGCTTATAGGGAGCGTTAATTCAGGAAATATATAATTATATTATATATAAAAGAGAAAGAAAAAGGGGGCGGGTATATATATCCTAAATATATCTGCCACCTTCTAAGCGAGGATAGTGGGGCACCTCTAACTAATAGGAGGTCACTATACCGTGGCTCACGTGATAGAATATGACATATATCCAGGTTCCTGTCGATTAAATGCGGAAATTGAGACAATGAAGCCCTCCGTGGCTATCTTACTGAGCAGAGCCGGTCCCATTGATAGAACGGAAATCAATCGGATGGCGGCTTTTCCATAATTCAATTCGGGCCGGTACTGGTTCGGACCCCTCGTCGGCTCGGACCGGATCAACCGCACGACAAAATGGTTGCCGATGAAGTGCGACTTCAATCGCCAACGGAGTACATCTATAGGACCATCATGACCGATGTGACTGACCACTATCATCTCCTACCAAGTCATTAAATATACCCTCTCCTCGTCTTCTTAACATCAATCCCGACTCCCGAGCCTATTGACTGCTCTGCCACGTCAACCATGCCGGAGATCATTCAGACATCCGAGATCGACCGAAAGCTGGCCGGTTTACTCGAGGAATACATCAGAGACAATCCAAAATCGGCCGAGTACCACCAACGCGCTCGCAATGTTATCCCCGGCGGAACTTTACGTTCTGTTCTCAGCTTCGACCCTTTCCCCCTGACCTTCTCTGGCGGCAAGGACTGCTACGTGACCTCGGTCGACGGTCGTGAGTACCTCGACCTGGTGTCCGAGTACAATGCCGGCATGTACGGGCACTCCCACCCAGTCATCCTCGCGGCAGTCGAGCGTGCCGCCAAGACCGGCTTCACCCTGGGTGGTCCCAACGAGCGGGAAGTTGAGCTGGCCGAGAAGCTGGTGAACCGATTTCCCAGTGTCGATTTGATACGCTTCTGCAACTCGGGGACGGAGGCCAATACAATGGCCATCGCGAGTGCTCTTCATTTCGTCCAGAGGAAAAAGGTAAGGGGCCCGAAGGCCACTTATAGACTTAGTCACTTATCCTTCTCCCCTTCTTGTCCTGATATTTTGTAACAGCCCCTTTAACCCCCCCACCCCTTTTTTTTCTTTTCTTTTTTTTCTTTCTCGGGGCCTCTGCTCATGCTGTCGCCTACCCCTCCACCGCTAGGTCATGGTTTTCGAAAATGGCTACCACGGCGGTACCCTCCTGTTCGGAGGACCCTCACCCAACCCTCTGAACCTCCCCCACGACTGGGTAAAGGGCGTCTTCGACGACATCGAAGCCACCCGCGCCCGCATCACCTCGGACATCGGCGTCATCCTCGTGGAGCCCATGCAAGGCGTCGCCGGCATGATTCCCGGCACCCACGAGTTCCTCGCTTTCCTCCGCGCAGAAGCCACCCGCATCGGCGCCGTCCTCATTTTCGACGAGATCATCACATCGCGCCTCTTCTTCGGCGGGTTGCAGGAACACCTCGGCATCCTCCCGGACATGACCACCATCGGCAAGCACTTTGGCGGCGGCTTCTCCTTCGGGGCCTTCGGCGGACGGCGCGACATCATGGCCCAGTTTGACCCGTCCGCGGCGGGCTCGGGCGCCCTGCAGCACTCGGGAACGTGGAACAACAACATCTTCTCCATGACGGCCGGCGCGGCGGCGGTGGACTTGCTGTCGCGCGAGGAGCTGCAGCGGACGGCTGAGCTGGGGAGCCGGCTAAGGGAAGGTGTGGCGGAAGCCTTTGATGCTCGGCATAGCGGTCTTGTCCGCGTCAATGGGATCAGCAATGTCGCTGGGTTCAAGTTTGAGGGTGCGGATGGCGCGCGTGGCGCCAATATTCGGCATTTGTTCTACTTCTACCTCTTGAGTAAGGGGATCTACATCAGCAGCCGGGGTTTTGTATCGCTGAATATTACCCATCAACCCGAGCACGTTGATCGCTTCCTGGGCGCAGTTCGCGAGTTCTGCGAGACAATACTTTAGATAGAGGAGAAGGAGGAGAAACTAGGTGCTCCGGGATAAAGGCCCTGACCAGGAGCTCCTCTCCAGAGACCGACTGCGATTGGACAAATCATCGTCAATCACTTACTCTGATAGGCGGCTAGCCCCGTACCTGTACCTGGGTACTTCCATCATCACGTGCGCCTGGTGCGTGACGCAAGGGGTAGGTACAACGTAGTGTAACTTTCAAAAAAGCGGGGAAATCTAGTCTAGCGTCAGGAGAGTCATATTCGAATTGGTTGGAAACAGCAGGATCCACAATGACCCTTACAGCGTTGTCATCGCTCCCAGCCTGCCGAGCTTCTTGGGCGGAACGTCACCGTCACAGCAACAGTCGGAAGCTCCTCCCTGACCTCTCCTCAACTTGCTCCTTTACCAACACCTCAAAGACGAAGCAGCATCGCAACTCCGGACAGTGGTAAAAGTCGCCATTGCCACTGCATAACTGAGCTCCTTTGGTTGCTTTTCTTTTTCTTTTTCTTTTTCTTTTTCTTCTTGTTCTTTTCCTCCTGCACTTCTCACGGTCCATTATCCATTTTCCAAATCGTCATCTCGGGGATTGGACCCAGCAGACCAAACCTCCCCTTCGTTATCCATCTATCATTCCTTACTCCTACTCTCCATCACTTAATCAACCCCACAAACGTCTTCGCTCTCGAATAGCCTAGCCCAGCCCAGAACACCTCGGCCGGTTCGTGCTGCCGTGGAGCAGCAAGGCGTCGTGCGCCATGACCCAACACCCTGTACACAAGCTCCTCGCCGTCGGGGCCCTGCTCGTAGGGAGCGTGGTTGGCGCTGAGCTCTACACCCCAAAACACGAGGCCGGGAGATGCGCCTTCCGTGGCCAATGCGGCTCCAAATACTTCTTCGGAAAGGAGCTGCCTTGCGTCGACAACGGCCTCGCCGAGGAGCCCGACGACGACCTGCGCCAGCAGATTGTGGACCTGTGCGGCGAGAAGTGGACTTCGGGACCCGTCTGCTGTAATGCGGATCAGGTATGTACTGATTGAATATGACAGCGATCTACAAGACTCCCAGCAGTCTCTGCGCTTTGCCAGTTGCCTCACTAATTCTCATTTTCTTTTCGTACTCAGGTCCGGTCCCTCTCCTCCGAACTCGGAACTCCCAAACAGATCATTTCCTCCTGCCCTGCATGCAAGGAGAACTTCTTCAACCTCTTCTGCACCTTCACCTGCTCTCCCGACCAATCCCTCTTTGTTAATATTACCCGTGTCCAAGAGAAGAATGGCAAGACCCGCGTCCTCGAACTGGATCAACTGGTCTCGGACCAATACAGCTCCGGTTTCTACGACAGCTGCAAAGAGGTCAAGTTCGGCTCCTCCAACTCCAAGGCCATGGACTTCATTGGAGGCGGTGCCAAGAACTATACCCAGCTTCTTAAGTTCTTGGGTGACGAGAAGCTCGTGGGTTCTCCCTTTCAGATGAACTTTCCTAGAGAATATGACAACCCAGCAATGTCCCCCCGGGAGATGAAACCCAAGAAATGCAACGACGAGGACCCGGACTACCGATGTGCCTGTGTCGATTGTCCGGACGTATGCCCCGAACTTCCCGCAGTGTCGAAACCTGGATCTTGCAAAGTGGGCGTCCTGCCTTGCCTCTCCTTTGCATCCATTTTCGTCTACTGTATCCTACTCTTCTCTGCCGTGGCTGCTGTTATCGGCCACGTCATGTGGCGCAGGCACGCCAGGCGCCGTAACGAGCGGCTCAGGTTGCTCCAGGACGCGTCACCTAGCGACGACGAGGACGAAGGCGATCTTGTTCTGAATCCCGCCATGCTGGACCAGCCGCGCCGGTATTACAAGATCAATACTTGGTGCGATGCTGCCTTTAGCCGGCTGGGTCACTTTGCCGCCCGCTTTCCGGCAATTACTATATCCTCGACCTTGATCTTCGTTGCCGTCCTCAGCGCCGGCTGGATTCGGTTCGATCTTGAGCGGGAGCCGGCGCGTCTCTGGGTGAGCCCGACCTCGCCTGCTGCGCAAGAAAAGGCTTTCTTCGACAGCAACTTCGGCCCCTTCTATCGTGCCGAGAAGATTTTCCTCGTCAACGACCAATCTCCTGAAGGGCCGGCACCTGTGCTTAGTTACGACACCATTCTGTGGTGGATGGATGTCGAGAGAAGTGTTGCCAGGTTAAAGGGTCCAAAATTCGGCGGCACTCTCAACGACATCTGCCTCAAGCCCACGGGCACGGCCTGTGTCGTCCAATCCGTCACTGCCTATTTTGGAAACGACCCTGGCCTTGTTGATGAGAAGAAGTGGAAAGATCGGCTCCGAAAATGTGTCGATTCCCCCGTTGAGTGCCGCCCGGCTTACGGCCAGCCTGTCGAGGCGAACATGATCCTGGGCGGCTGGACCTCTGATCCGGCCAATGCTACGGCCATCACCGTCAACTGGGTGGTCAAGAACGGCGCCGAGGGCAGCCCTGAAGTGGAACGCGCCGCAGATTGGGAGGCTGCGCTTCGCGACCGCCTCCTCGAGGTCCAGCAAGAAGCGCAGGACCGCGGTCTTCGCCTCTCTTTCTCCACCGAGATCAGCTTGGAAGAAGAACTTAACAAGTCGACCAACACCGATGCCAAAATCGTGGCCATCAGCTACGTCATCATGTTCCTCTACGCATCGCTCGCCCTAGGGTCCACGACGCTGTCTCTTCGCGGACTGCTCCGGAACCCGGCCATCGCCTTGGTCCAGTCCAAGTTCTCCCTGGGCGTGATGGGCATTCTCATCGTTCTCATGTCCATCAGCGCCTCCGTCGGTCTCTTTTCTTGGTTCGGTTTGAAGGCTACCCTCATCATCGCCGAGGTTATTCCTTTCATTGTGCTCGCCGTCGGCGTTGACAATATTTTCCTCATCGTTCACGAGTTTGAACGGGTCAACATCAGCCATCCTGACATCGTCGTCGAGGAGCGAATCGCGAAGGCGCTTGGTCGCATGGGCCCGTCCATTCTGCTTTCAGCTCTCACCGAGACCGCGTCCTTTACCCTCGGCGTCTTTGTCGGCATGCCGGCCGTTCGCAATTTTGCGGCGTATGCCGCTGCCGCGGTTTTCATCAACGCTATTCTCCAGATCACCATGTTCGTGTCAGTTCTGGCCCTGAACCAGATGCGCGTCGAGGACCACCGTGCCGACTGTATACCTTGCATCCAGGTTAAGGCTGCCCGGGTGCATCTAACCGGAGGCAATGTTAGTCCAGGTGCCAGGCACTACGAGGTCCCCGAGGAGAGCTGGCTCCAGCAGTTCATTCGCAGACACTATGCCCCTGCCATCCTCGGCAAGAAAGCCAAGGGCGTTATCGTGGCGGTCTTTCTCGGTCTCTTCGCCGCGGGCATTGCGCTGATCCCCGAGGTGAAGCTCGGCCTGGACCAGCGCGTCGCTATCCCCGACGGCTCCTACCTCATCCCCTACTTCAACGACCTTTACGACTACATGGAGACCGGCCCGCCCGTCTTTTTTGTCACGAGAGAATTCAATGCCACCCAGCGCAAGTACCAGCGGGAGGTCTGCTCACGATTTACGACATGCGAGCAGATGTCTCTCACCAACATTCTCGAGGGCGAGCGGAAGCGCCCGGACGTCTCGTACATATCCTCGCCCGCGGCCAGTTGGATCGACGACTACTTCTTGTGGCTCAATCCGGACCTGGGAGACCAGTGCTGCGTCGAGCACGGCGAAGCTTGTTTTGCCCACCGTGAACCCCCATGGGACATCACACTCTCGGGCATGCCCGAGGATGGGGAGTTCGTCAAATATCTTCACAAGTTCCTATCGTCCCCAACGACCGAGGATTGCCCTCTGGCCGGCCAAGCAGCCTACGGAAACACTGTAGTCGTCGATTCCGAGACGGATACGATCAAGGCCAGTCACTTCCGAGCCATGCACACCCCCCTGCGAAGCCAGGACGACTTCATCAACGCCATGTCGTCCGCCCGACGCATCGCATCCAGCATCCAGCGCGAGACGGGTGTGGAGGTTTTCCCCTACAGCGTCTTTTACGTCTTTTTCGATCAGTATGCCTCCATCGTGTCCCTCACCGCGACGCTCTTGGGCTGCGCGGTGGCCATCATCTTTCTAGTCTCCACGGTTCTTCTCGGGTCCATTCGTACTGCTGCCGTGGTGACGGTCACGGTCTGCATGACAGTCATCGATATCATTGGCGCCATGGCTGTCTTTGGCGTGTCGCTCAACGCGGTCTCGCTGGTCAACCTAATCATCTGCGTGGGTATCGCTGTCGAGTTCTGCGCCCACGTCGCTCGCGCGTACACGTTCCCCTCGCGCACTGTCATGGAGCGGGCTAAGAACAGGTTCCGCGGTCGCGACGCTCGCGCGTGGACGGCGCTGGTGAACGTCGGTGCGTCCGTCTTTTCGGGCATCACGGTCACGAAGCTTCTGGGCGTGTGCGTGCTCGCCTTCACACGGTCTAAGATTTTCGAGATTTACTACTTCCGTGTCTGGCTAGCCCTCGTCGTTTTTGCGGCCACGCACGCTCTCATTTTTCTCCCCGTCGTGCTCAGCCTTGTGGGAGGCGAAGGGTACGTGGACCCCGAAAGCGAGGGCGGAATCGAAGAAGACCTGGCCAGCCGACGATATAGGGCACTCGTTCCGGAGAGCGATACGGACTCGGAGGACGAATCTTAGAAGGGCGAAAGGACAGACGTACAAGGGGCGAAGCAACGCCGGGCGCCCGGTCCCCGTCGGGTCTGCACTTACAAGATGGCTCGAAACTTTTAGAATGACGTCGAACATGGGTTCACACCAGACAGAGAATACGCGTGCATGACGAAGACGGAAGACGGCAAATTCAGGCTCAGTCGGTCCCAGCCCAGACCTTACACCCAAGCGCGGGCCGACTTTGAAGAGGAGGTCAACTGGAGCTGGTTCGAAAGGTACTATCTCGGGCAGCCGGGCTCTTCCCAGCCGGCGCAGGAAGAGTTGGTTTCGGAGGGTGGAGGGGCCTGGATGGAAGCGATATCAGACATGAAGGCCGGTGAAGAAGAAGACGAAGAATTCGAAGAAGACGAAGAAGAGCCGGCAGAGGATGAAGACGAAGATGGCGGTAAGGGGAAGGCGAGGGCGAGAGCGAGGGCGAGAGCGAAAGGGAAAGGGAAAGAAATAGAGAAGCCACCGCCCAAGAGGGTCGGCATTTCGCCGATATCCCGCGTCAAGGAGTTCGTTGACCGACCTTCTTCTTCGTCCAGCAGCGGTTTACCGTCAATTCAAGAGGAAGAGGAGGAGGAAGAGGTGGAGGTGGTGGATGACGAGGAGGTGGACGACGAGGAGGTGGAGACGGGGGCCGGGGCGTTGCAGGAGATGCTGAGGAGAGCTGAAACTCTGGCAGCCAGTCGTGCTGAAGCTGCAATGGCGGAAGCAGACCAACTTTTCCAGGCGGGTTTGGCTAGGTTGGTTAGCCGGGAGCCAAACCGGAGCAATACTGGCGAAGGTGAAGCAGGCCCGTCGTCGACAAGGCAAGGCGGACCCGGCTGACCCTGCGCTCAGGGGCGGGGAGTGGGAAGATTGAGGTTGGAAGAGCGAGGAGGGCGTCAAAGGCGGCGCTCCCTAGGCCGAGGGACTGAATGAGCGAGTGGGATGGTCACTGTTTTCCTGCGGCCGGTCATGGCAGTTTGGCCGTGGTGTATTATACATAGAGTTGGCCACATGGGTATTGTGACTGACAGGCAAGAGTGGTTGAAGTTTTGCTTTCGGGCTATGTACTGATGCAGAGACAACGGAGCAGCGCAGTGGTGCAGTTGGGGGTCACGTTGGCTTCGTGTATCTCTTTTCGAATTTCCGTTCTTTGGAACAAGCGGGTGGAATCAGTCTTAGACATGTAGTATCAGCGATAATTACATTGCAGCGACGCGATGCCGTATTTTTTGGGCAGAGTTTGGTTGATGTCTAGTAATGATGCGGCTTGGAGCTTGACCCGGGGGGGTTTTTTTTTTTTTCGAAAACGCCCTTTATCGACGAACAGGGAGCAAAGAACGGTTCCAGTTAACGCTTGAAGCTGTCAATGGACCGGTGACAACTGACGGGGATGACGGACACGAGGATGTGAGATACGAGTTGTCGTCTCGTCGAGCCTCGATGAGGTGGTACTGGACGGAGTTGGGTAGATGAGGCTTAGATGACAAAGCTTGGTGTAATTATTAAGGGGTACAAATTGGCAGCCAACAACAGGATGCCACATCATTGTTTCGTGACAGCAGTGTCTCTGCTGGCGAGGGCGTCTGGATTCTATGAAGTGATGCAGGCTGTAAGGTACACATGCAGGCCGTATAAGTGGCGGGTGAAGAGCAGTTCAGGGGGGCGGGCTTGTTACATGTGCGCTGCTTAGTGACCGACTCCACGACGTCTGTCACGAGCAGATGAAGTGAGGATGAGATAGCTTCGAGCATGTTGGTCAAACTCATGGTGGTAGAATTATTACAAAGCCCCCGAATTTACAACGTGGACCGTGGAATTAAATCGCGGCATGGAAGCTATGCTGATCATTCATCCCGCCACTACAGACCGTGGAAGTTTTTCCTATTCAACGGAAGCTGGCCAAGATGACAAGGCTCTTAATTAACTATATGATTTCGTGCCCCCATCTCCCTTTTTCTCTGTATTTTGTTGGCTACGATGACAACTTTCTCTAGCCGACGTTCTTGTGCTCCTTTTTCTGTGACAAGCTGCAATCCCCAATAGTTGATTACTTTATGGTTAGAGTTGGGTACCTAATTCAGGAGTCGCTCGGGCGTACCTTGATACGCTGTAATTACCTTACCTACCTTAAGTGGCCTGAGCTCCAAAAGTACCTAGGTAACGATATTTAACGATACCAAGAACATGCATGCTCCAACGGTTGTGCAAGGTACCTTTAGATCTGCATCTCCCACATCAAATGACACTCTTTCCCTGTGGTTCAGATCATGTCATGTTTTCTTTTCTTTTCGAGATGATAGGTTGCCCCATTTCCTGAATTGACAGCTCACAAGCTCCAATGGCCTTCCAATATAACTCATACCGCCATGGCTGTCGCACTGGCCCCGTATTTGTTGTACATGTACTATACGCAGTACTTTATTGGGTCTTCGGTAAGGTACTTAATTTTTAGAATCGAAGCTTGGGAGTTTGTTTTCCCGATGACACCCGAAGCAACTCGCGCCCCTGATTCGCTGGCAGTGCGGATATCTAACCCCTCAGGGAACAGGTGCGAATAGAAGTCCGTGCTTTGTGCCTCGTGTCCTCTGTGACCTCTGCGACTGTGACCACAGCGCAGTTAGGTACAAACCTAGTCCCAACAACGGACGGTACGAGGTACAACGTGTACCTAAGGTACTCGGTACTACCTTAGGTACCTTACCTTATATAACGCGTGCATGGCCCAAGCGCGACCGCGAAGGCAATTCCCAATTCCACTTGGAACGACGACTCCATCTCAATCTCCCTCTTTCCCCCCATTTTCTCTTTTCCCCCTTCTATCTGAGGATTCTCCCACTCCGTCGCCGAATTTGGTTTCCTCTCCCTTTTGTATTGCATCACTTAGACCAGCTGTTTTCGAGGAAGAGGAAAATAGAAAAGAAAAAAGACCAGTTCTGGCTACTGGTCTTCCTTTCCTTGCATCGACTATCTTAGCAGCTCTCTCTACCCACTCCTCGTCCAGGGAAGGGAATCGATCCCGTGGTCCGAAGTAAGTCATGAATTATACGGCTTCCACCTCATCTTATCCCGAAATTCCTCTAGCCTACCTTGCGAGGTAGATCCATGCATATACGGAGCTTTCCCAGGCGGGGTGTGCACCTGGATCACCCTGTATGCAGTGCTGTGTCACCTCTCCTGGCTGGCTGGCTGCTCCTCTGCTCCTCTGCTCCTCGCCATTCCCTCCCCTTCTCAGCCTCCTGGATGCACTACCACCCACGGGGTTTGGACATGCTAACCGCGCTCCCCGTCTCGATAGGGTCCTGTATCCAAACGTCGCCTTCCACATCACCTCGGCTACGGCAGCGACGACGACAACGACGAAACAGTTTTTCATTACTTCTCTCTGGCTTCGTCCGTAATCCATATTCATCATGTCTGATACCGAAGGGTTTGAAGTCGTCCAGCGAGACGAGCCCTCTGTCACCGAGTCTGTCCCCGAACCCGAGTCTGCACCCGAGGCTGAAGCCGAGCCGGAACCCGAGCCGGTACCCGAGACCGAGACCAAGCCTGCCGCTCAACCCGAAGTGTCACAAGAGAAAACACCCGTGAAGAAGACCACCACTACTGCTTCCGGTGTCCGTCGTCCTGCTGTCTCCGCCACCACAAGGGCTGCTACTGGAACCACTGGCACTGCAGCCCGTGCCACTGGCGGATTGAGCAAACCCCCTACTCGTCCTCCGGGGACCACTGCTACCACGGTCAAGAGACCCTCTGGTGCTTCTTCCGTCGCCACTCATCGCTCGCGGCCTAGTGTGTCTGCTTCCGAAGACGACTCGAAGAAGTCCGTCTCTTCCATTAGCCGACGCACCTCCGTCGCCCCGAGCACGACCAGCTCCACCTCCTCGCCCGGCAAGAGAATCACCACCACGACTCCGTCAACCGCCGCTGCCGCTAGGCGTCCTCTGACCAGCACCACTTCCGCTCGTACCTCGACAAGTGCTGCTACGCGTCCCACCGCCGGCACCACATCGACCAGCCGCGTCGCCGCCCGTCCTGCCACCAGCACAACCGCCGACGCGGCCACCAAACGCCTGTCCGCCGCGAGCACCACCTCTACCGCTACTTCCCGCACCGCCCGCTCCTCCCTCCGTCCCGCCAGCTCCGGCACCGGCGGGCCATCCGCCAAGGAGATCGAAGAGCTCAAGGCCAAGCTGGCTGAGAAGGAGACGGAGCTAACCGAGCTCAGGGCCCAGGTCGAACAGCAAGCTGCTACTGCCGCCGCTGCGCAAGATGCTCCCCCCACCGAGGGTGTTTCCGACGAGGCGAAGCAGGCCCAGGAGCAGGAGATCGCCGCACTCAAGGCCAGGCAGGAGGAACTCGAGAGCCAACTTGAGACGCAAAGGGTCGAGCTTGAGGAGGTTGTCGCCGCCAAGGACGCCGCCGAGCTGGAGCTTGCCTCGGTGAAGCATTCGATCGAGTCCCTGCAGGCCGAGCAGGAGGAAAAGAGCAAGGCGAGCGAGGCCGCGCTGAGCCAAGCCACCGCCGAACATGAAGCCCAACTGGAGGGGTTGCGACTCTCTCTGGAGCAGGAGCATAAGGCAGCCATCGAGGCCCTCGAGGCAAAGAACGCCGAGGCCCTTGCGCAAGGCCAGGCATCTTCGGCCGACCACGAGACTGCTATCGCCAGCCTCAAGTCCACTCACGAATCCGCCATGGCCGAGCTCCAGGCCAGGATCGACCATCTCACCGCCTCGCAGAACGACGCCGTTGCCGCCCAGGAGTCCAAGGTGCAGGCCGAGCAGGAAGCCCACTTGGCCCGGATTACCGCCCTGGAAGCCGAAGCCGCCTCCCTGACCAGCAGGCTCGAGTCGGCCGAACAGGCGGCCGACCAGGCCCAAGCCGACCTAGATGCCAAGGTCACCGAACTGTCTTCTCTGCAACAGGCGGTGGCTGATCTGGAAAGCAAGCTGGAGGCAGCCCGTTCTGATGTGACCCAGGCGCAGGAGGAGGCGGACGCGCTCCGTGTCCAGGTCAGCAGCCTCACGGATGAGATGACCGCCAAGGATGAGGCGCTGGCCAAGGCCAAGGGAGACCACGCCGCCCTCATTAGCCGGCACGAAGACCAACTGAAGCAAGTCTCCAAGGACTACGAGGACGAGATCGAGAGCCTCAAAGGCGATGCGCACTTCAAGCGGCAGTTCCATGCCCTCGAGGCCAAGCACAAAGAGCTGCAGGAAGCCCACGACGAGCTGGAGCACTCGCTCAAGGAGGCTGAGGAGGACCACGCCAAGGCGCTCGAGCTGGCCAAGAGCGAGCATGCCGCTGCCACCGCTGCTCTCGAGACCCAGGAAGCCGAACACCAGAAGGCGCTGGGTGCCCTGCGCGCCAGCCATGCCGAGGAGATCGAACAGGCCAAGAACTATGCCAACGCGGACAAGGATGCCCATCTGGAGGAGCTCCAGGCCCTCAAAGACAGTCATGCCCAGCAACTGGAGGTTCTCAAGAGCGAGGGGGATGCGTCGCTGGCCGAGGAGTTCGCAGCGCTCAGGGCGTCCCACGCCGAGGTGGTCAGGGCGCTCGAGTCGGAGAGCGCGGGCGAGAGGGAGAAGCTCATCGCCGCGCACCGGGACGAGCTCGCCAACGTCAAGGCGTCCGGCGACAGCGCCCATGCGGCGGAGCTCGACGCCCTCCGACAGCAGCTCGACGACAGCCTCGCCAAGGTCCAGGCGGCAGAGGGCGCCGGCGCAGAGGCCTTGGAGGCTGCCAAGAAGGAACTCGAAGCAACGCACGCGTCCGAGGTGGAGAAGCTCATCACCATGCACGCGGAGCAGCTCGACGCCGTCAAGGCCGAAGGCGCAGCGGGCGCGCAAAGCCAGCTGGACGAGCTCACGGCGGCCCACGCCAAGGCCGTCGAGGCGCTGAAGGCCGAGTCGGACAGCCAGAGCGCGTCCCTGGATGAGGAGATGGCCAAGCAGAAATCGGCCCTCGACGAGCTCCAGGCGGCTCTGCAGGGAGCCAAGGATACGCTCGCGACGGTGGAGGCCGAAAAGGCGTCCGCCGACGCGGCGCTGGCCAAGCTGGAAGAGGAGAACGGCGACCTGGGACAGCAGCTCGCGACGGAGAAGATGGCGCGGGCCGAGGCGGAGGCGGCGCTGGACGCGGTCAAGAACCAGAAGCCGGACACGACCGAGTTGGACTCGCTGCAGGCGACCAGGAAGAGCCTCGAGGCCGAGCTCCAGGTGGTGCAGACCAGCCTCGTGGCGGCGGAGAAGCAGGCCGAGGCGCTCAAGCAGGACCTGGCGGCGGCGCGGAGGGAGCTTGAGGCTACCCGGCTCGAGGCGGACGACAAGATCAGGACGAGTCAGGTCGACTACGAGGATATGCACGACAGCCTGACCAAGGTGGCCGACGAGGCGCATGCCAAGCGCAGCGAGCTGGAGCAGCAGGTGGAAGAGCTCAAGAGGACGGTGGACGAGAAGCTGAAGGGGATCGATGAGCTGGAGGCCTTGGTCAAGGTGAAGGACGCCGAGATTGCGGAGGCCAAGGTATGTTACACCCGCGGTCTTTACCACCCAAGGTGAAATCGAAGGAGCAAGTTGATTAATATTTCTTTCTTTTGATCCCATGCAGGCCGCGGCACCGAAGTCCAGGGGACTCGCAGCGAGTAAATACGCCACGGCCTCGGACGAAGAGGGCGCGGACGGCTCGGCCCCCGATGCCAAGGCGGAAGGTGAGGACGACGAGGACCACTCTTCAGCGGCATTAGGATCGGTGCGAGTGCCCCCTTTGTAGAAGCAGCCACCATTCCCATCTTCCTTGACATTCTGTCTTTTCTTTTTGTATCTGGGAGCGTGGATTCTTTCTTTTCATGAGCCAACTCGTACTGACTTTTTTTTCTTCTCACAGATCCAAGCAGCTAGAGTGCAAGCGCGCCAGATCGACGAGATGGACCGCGTGATGAAGGAGAAGAACCTGATGATGCTCAACTCTATCACCGACTTCCAGTCCCCAGCTCGGAGCAGCGCCTCGTAGAGAGGCCGTCCTTCTTTCCCCCTTCGACCGGCATTCGCATTCACGGCGGCCTGCTCCGACTGGTGCAGCGGATATTTTTCGCATTCGAGGACTTGGCCTCACCCGACCCGACCCGATTGAGCTGACCTAACGTTTTTGGTCATGTTGCTCAATGGGACTGAGAACGCCGTCCGTTCTCACGTCCTTGACTACCGATTGACAATCTTTCTCTTCCTCCACGCCTCATGCATTGGGGTACGAGATCCTACTTTAATACTGTTTTTCTTTTACGGGTTACAGCGCCAGGAGCAAAGCATCTCGGGTTTGCTGGGACGAGGAAATCGAACAGAAACGGGTCGAGGGCCTTTTTTTGTTCTCTTTCTTCGTCCTTTTTTTTGGGTCTCTCAACTCACTGCTCTCATCTCCGGCGTCTTTTCGCATCTCCTCCCGCGGTGAGATGGGGAGGGCCTCTTTTTATTGGCCTTGCGTCTTCACCGGCTGTTGTGGTTGGGGGTAAAAGGGAAAAAGGGGGGGGGGGGGGCGGTGTTGCAGAGATGTTGAACGAATTGAACATAGGTGAACCATACATGTTGTAATTATTCCGGCACGTACGCATTTCCATGTCTGCGTATGAGTGAGATAGCAATGGACGATACCCCCTTTTTGTGTCCCTGGCTCTTTGGACTTTGCGATGCGCGGTCCTGACTGTCGTCCAAAAGTGGATAAGTCAGGAGGGAGGCGTAGTGCGGTCTAGGTGATTCGCTGGGTCCTAAGCGAGGGCGACGAGAAAGGTGATGGCATCGAGGTGACGACGCCATGAAATGTTGCATTGAAAGTAAGGCATGTACAAGCGAACGCGGCTCGCCATATTTACAGGTGATGCCGAGTAAACTGCTGGCATGTCTATCTTATATTTCTTACATATACGTATGAATCCTATTGACTGATTGTATGTATACGGCGAGTACTGAGTAAGTAAGATGATAAGATGAGATGAGATGAGAGAAATGGAGGAGGGAGGGGAGTGGGCTATGGGGCTGACGATAGTTGGGGGGATTTCGTCCTCTGTCGTCTGCAGTGTCGCCTGTTCCTCTGTACGTACCTCAAGGTAGTTAGTACCTTACCTTAGTGTCTGTCGCTGTACCTAGGTTGTGTCGCGTGAGAGCTCGTCGCGTGATTGCCACCGAAGAAGTTCCAGTTCTTCGAAGGGGGCGTCCTTTTAAAATAATGGCTACCTGGTAAATATTGGAGAAGTGGATCCCCCCCAGAGAAGAAGAAGAAAAACTTGGCTTCACGGCTCGCCCTGCTCGGCGAATTTGCTCACTCCGCCCCGGAGGACGCTACGCTAACTTAGCCACATCATGATGATGCCCTGGTGGTCGGATAGCGTTGCCGCGTGAGGTAGGTTATAAGTTAGCTACGGAAGTCGGCGTTGAAAAGTGCGATTCGGTCGGTCGGCTAAGTGTGTTGTTGATTCAGGGAAAAACTGCCTAACCGCAACAGTGGAAGGAATCACCTGACCCACCTATTAGTGTTTTGTATCATCATACTATCTTCAGTCTTCCTTGTTGTTCAACAGTATTTGTCTTGTCGGGTTTCAATTGATTATATATTCATCCATTGATTCATTCATTTGCTTAACTGCTCTTGACAACATACAGTCCAAGTTGGAGTAGTGTAGAATTAACCAAGAAAAAAAAAAGGGGGGCTTGTCTGGGGGTTTGTCTTTGACCAATGGGTCGGGCCAGAGAAGTACCAGGAGATTGTTCGCTTGTTCCCTAAAATGGAGACGGTCTGGTGAGTTTGGGTTGGTTGCATGATGGCTCGAGTTACACGTAGTGTTAAGGAAAGGTATTAGAGTTTTATATAGGTAGAGGTACTTAGAAGTACCATTACTTTTCTTATATTTGGTCGTACTACTACTCGCAGGGAACCCTGTTATCCTTAGCCAATCATTTTGCGTTGTATTCAAACTAACGGTTCTAACCCTGGCAGGGGTGTACTGCTTACCTCATTTAGCAATAACACTGCAAGGCTTAAGCGAGTGGCTAATTAATTACATAAGGTACCTTATGTGAAGGCTGTGCGTCCGTTGCCTGGTTATTGGTCTCCCCTTGGCTGTTATTTCACGGTAAATTGGTGTTTAATATTTCCGCCCCAAGGTTTGTAAAAAGCCAGCCTTGGAAAGGAGGGAGGGAGATGAGGGAGAATAAGCGTAGAGGTACCTTAGGTAAGCTGAGAACAGAGGAACAGAACCGACACACAATAGGTACCTACGATTACTTCTGACTAAGTAAGGTACGTAAGGTACAGCAAGGTACGGTAGTACAAATCAAGTACGGAGTAGTACACTACGGAGTAGCATCCGGACCAGGTGGGGTAGACCAGGTCCGGTCCATTTCAAAGACCAGGGGTGAGAGCGCGAACCGTTAAAGGGGGCCCCGCTAATTGAGCTCCTAAATTCAGGTACGCCAGACTGAGTCAAGTCACACAATGACTTCGTACGGATACTTGGATACTCGTACCGCATTCGTTTCTGTTTCGCACGAGGAGAGTCCCCGCCAACCTGAAATTAGTACGGAGAACCCCTTTGGCGAATCAGTTAGGCCGTCCGGTACCTTATGTAAGATGACGGAAGAAGGGAAAGTGCCAGCCAGCCGTTGCCTATATAAACTTTAAAGTGGCCTGAGCTCGAGGCCTTCGTTGTATATAAACTTTAAAGTGGCCTGGGCTCGAGGCCTATGCAAACTTTCCCGAGGCCTATGCACACTACCTAGTAGGTACACTCGTCCACGCGACTCCCTTCTTCTTCTGGGGAAGGGGGGAACTTGGCAGGGCTGTGCTGGGTCTACCTAAGGTACCTTGTAGTATTGGTACGCGATTTGCTATTTTGGACTTCGGTCTACGAAGTAGGAAGTACGGAGTACAGTACCAACGCACGGCTTCACATGGAAAAGCATCCAACACCCAATAGGACGTACTCCGTACATTATTCCCCTGATTAATACTGCCTCCCTGGTGGGACATCGTAGGATCGATTGAGGCGCAGGGGACTGCCATCCCCTGGAGGGAGACCAGACTCTAGGAGGGTTGTAAATAAAATAAGGTAGTTGATGTTGATGTACCCGGTACGGCGGCATGATCGTTTCACTGCAATTGCAGATGTACCTTATCCTTACAACAGCTACGTACTTTGTAAAAGATACCTGTTGATCACGCTTGCCCTTTTTCGTCTTCACTTTCTCACGGCGAACCTCTTCTCTTCTTTTCCTTCACTCGAGTCACTCTCTACGTCTTCTCTTCCACACCTTCGCTTCCCTGATCTCGTCATCGTCCTTCTTTTTCGTTTTCGTTTTCTTCTTATTTTCTTCCCTTTCTTTTCTTTCTTTCCGTGCATCCTTGCCATACCCACCCCTCGTCAATTATCCACCCGGACGGTCCCCCTTATTCTCGCCTTCTCGTCCTCGTTCTATAACGATTCCTCACCAAGCTTCGTCTATGCTCTGGCTCCCGTAATATCCACCCCCCAGGCGCGATGCCTTCTATTCCTATTCCCCGTCTTTCTTTCTTGTTCGGCCTATTTTTCGTATCCATTGTCTCCAGCAAGCTCGTCCGCCTTTACATCCATATCACAACCGTCCCCGTGCTGGCCTTCGCCTTCTATCTCCCCACCTTCTTCATATTCGACTTGATCGTCATCTGCTTCGCGAGACTAATCCTACAGCCTGCCAAGAATTCCGTCACCTTCCTAGCCTCAGTTATAGGAGGGTTATTTGCGTACGTACAACAAGATTCTTCCGTTCTGCCTCTGACGTACTGTCCTGTTCCTCTTCTGGGAGGCGTGACGTGTATCACTGGACAAGGAGAACAAAAGGGCTGACTCGGCTGCACTCACAGCGTCCTGTCACTTGCCGGAGCCTCGTCTGAACTCGGCTTCTTCTTCAAGACAGGAGGCGAGATCGACTGGCGAGATGCCTCCACATATACATCCAGCAAGGATGCCTTCGAGGTGTTGCTCTCCGGCAGTATTGCCGTAATTCTATCTTCCTGTGTCCTCGTCGTCATCACTTGGTTCTCTCACAACATCCTCTACCAAGTCATGGGCGCCTTCTTGGCATGGATCGGACATGAGATTGCATCAGGTGAGTTCAACATCCACCCCGTGTCATACTCTTTCCCCTTTCCGTTCGCTCGGCCACTCACGAATCTTTTCTTTTCCCTCTCCCAGGCTGGAATCGAGTACGAATGCTCGCCCCCATTAGACGTGGCAAGTACACCCATTTGAAAGACATCGACGACAGCGAAAGCATATACCAACAACTCCCCACTCATTCTGTCGACGACGATGCCGAGACCTCCCCCTTCGGACGCGCTCACGCCCGGCCACCGTCACGATGCTACTTCTCCCCCTCCCTGCTCTCATCGTGGGTCGTCAAGGCAGTCACCCTGGCGTTTCTTGTCGCTGCCCTCGTCGTTCGACCCGCCAAGCCTTACAATTCCATGTCCGTCACATTGCCAGTCTCGCTGTTCGACGCCTTCCGAGCCCGTACGCATTTTTGCCGCGATCAGAAACGTATCATGGAGAACAAGTGGCCCTTCCCGAAGCTCCTCCGCAAATCACGATGGGAAGATCCTGAAGGTGACTTCAAGGGCTGGGCTCCCGGCCCCAAGAGCAAATTGGCCGCCCGTTATCGAGACAGGATCCCGGACTGGTTCCCTACTACCTCAGTTCCCCGGGGTTTCTTCCGATGGGACCCCGAACGATTCACCAACCCGCCCTTCGGGTCTTTCCTTCCTACCACTTCTATCTCCATGCCGCCGCCTCATGAACCTCATCAGACGCCTCACAGTCGTCGTTCTGGCGCTGCGAATAATCCGCCTCCTGCTCCGAGTCAACCATCGCCAACATCAGCACCACCGCCAACGTCGCCGACTTCCTCCTCCCCCCTCCACCGTCGCTACGATTATTCCAATGGTCGAAAAGGACCGACCGACGTGGAGAGAAACCAATGTCCTGAACTGTCCGACTCGAATCCTTTCTATAACCCCGTAAGCGACCCGTTGAAGATCACCAACCTTGACAGCGACATCCTGCAGCCCCTCAAAGAGGCACTCGACAACGGCTCCGTCAAGATCAGACACGTCGTCCTCATTTTAATGGAGAGCCTGCGCGAGGAGCTCTTCCCCCTTCGACAAGGCTCGGATCTCTATAACACCATCCTAGAGCACAATGACGAAAAGGATCGGGACCAGGTAGAGGCCCAGCTGGCTCGTTTGACGCCGCACATCGAGAGGATGATTACTGGCCGCTCGGGAAATCTCACCAGCGCCAACGGCTCAACCCTCGAGTTCCCCGAGCTCAAGTGGAACGACACGACACGGCCCGACTTTGGCGGAGTCAACGTCGTTGGCGCCTACACCAGCGCCACCATGTCCACGAAGAGCTTCGGCGCGACGCACTGTGGCGCCTGGCCCATGCCCGTCGACACGTTCGACGAAGCCGACACGGACAGCTATCAGCCCTGTCTTCCGCAGATCTTCGAGCTTTTCGGCCGGGGGAAGGGGGCCGCCTCGAACCATTCATCATCCTCTCGTGGGGCCTCTCCGGACCGTTTTCAGAATCAGCCCTGGTATCCCGCCTTGTTCGAGGCCCAGATCGAAGAGTACGACAGGCAAGAGGTGTTCGACCGGAAGCTCGGCTTCAAGCACATCGTCACTCGGGCCCAGCTGGAGTCCGACTGGCGATACAACAGTTCGGACCCTCTTTACCACAAGGTCAATTACTTCGCCTACCCCGAACCCGTGTTGAAGCCATATCTCAAGGAATACATCACCGACGCCCTCGCAAACAAACGACGCATGTTCCTGTCGCATTTCACGAGCACAACGCATCACGCCTGGGACACGCCCGACGACTTTGACGTTGTTTCCTATCTGCCCTCGACGGGCTTCACGTCGTCCTGGCATAAGGACTTTAACAAGTACCTGAACACCATCCGCTATCACGACGCCTGGATGGGCGAGCTGCTGCAGATGTTCGACGACCTGGGCATCGCGGACGAGACGCTCGTGGTCTTCGCCGGTGATCACGGGCAGGCCTTCCAGGAGGACCACCACAAGACGGGCACGTACGAGAACGGCCACGTCAGCAACTTTCGCATCCCCATCACCTTTCGGCATCCCCATCTGCCCCGCGTCCAGTACGAGGCCAACGCGACCTCCATCTCCATCCTCCCCACCGTGCTCGACCTCCTCGTCCACAGCGGCTCGCTCGACGACGAGGACGCGCGGATCGCTTCGGACATTCTCCACGACTACGAGGGCCAGTCGCTGATTCGGCCTTACAAGGCGTCGCACAACGGCCGCCGGGCCTGGAACTTCGCCGTCGTCAATTCGGGGGGGGGCATGCTTGCGGTGACATCGGCCGACGCGCCCTGGCGGCTGGTCATGCCGTTGGAGGGCAGGGCGTACGAGTACCGGGTCACCGATCTGAGCAAGGACCCGCGCGAACTCGGGCCGGTCAAGTCGTGGTCGGTCGACGAGGCCGTGAAGGCAGTTGGGGAGGAGATGGGGCAGGAGGCTGCTCAGTGGTTGAGCGAAGCCGTACCCGTGGCACGGTGGTGGAGCTTGGAGCGTCGGCGCCTGTGGAGGCATAACGCAGTATGAAGGCATGTTTTTTTGTACCATAACAGTGTTTCTTTTGGCGATTTTTGGGTTCATGAGACGGGTATATCATACATGTACGGGATACCGGGGGGGCGTTTGAAGATTTCAGGCAGTTTGGTGGCATCAGGCAAAGCCAAGTACAATTGTGCTCCCCAAAATTAGTTATCATTAGACTTTTTATAAATATTAAACCTACATAACATGACCATCCTAGAAGCTGTATAATGAATGGAACGATAGTGCTCTTAATGAAGTGGGAGCTCTATGTGTGTGCGTGCTCTAACCAACGTCGTAAATCATCCCCTACCTCGCTTCCCCCTTTCTCATGATCCCATCATTCAGTCATCTGTAGCCCCCGTGCCATGCATGTCCGAAGCTTCTCTTGTCATGTACGTAATTCTGCAAAGTAATACACGCTTGAACATGGAAAAAAACAAAAGAAACAAAAAGCAGGGCCGCCATGCCATTTATCCCAGACCTTCGCTCGGGGTGACGAAGGCACCTTCTACTCCCTGAGAACTGCCCCGCCCCGTCTGTGTTGTCATTGTAGTCGTTAGTCGTTATCTACTCACAATGCATCCGTCTTCTCGCTCTTTTGCGGTTGCACGATGTCCCGCACGTCGAAGGTCACCCAGAAGTTGTTTTGCTTGACGAACCAGGCGTTGACGAGTTCCCATTCCTTGTTGGGATCTTGGAATTTGATCTGCGGGGGAAGGGGGGGTGAAGGATTAGCCGGGTCCGGTGAGAAGAATTACAAGAATATTGATAAAAATAATAATAAAAAGAAAAAGGGAAAAAAAAGGGGCGGGGGACTACCTCGAACCGCCTCAAAAGACTGGGGACCAACTTGTAAATCTCCAACAAGCTAATGTTCTTCCCGATACAGGTCCGGCTGCCCATGCCAAACTGGAACAACATGCCGTTCATCTCGCGCACCCTCTTCTCCTCCGCGTCGTGGTCGCCCGGGCCGGGAAGCCACCGTTCGGGCCGGTAGGCGTCGACGTCGGGCCCCCAAATCTCCCTCCGGCGGTGGATGATCCAAGCGCTGCAGCCGACGACGGTGCCGCCCTTGACGAAGCGGCCCGCGATGTCCATGCCGGGCTCGGGGACGACGCGCTCGAGCGGCAGGCCGGCGGCCGGGTGCAGGCGGAAGGCCTCCTTGATGCAGGCGTCGAGGTAGGGGAGCTTCTGGCTCTCGGACCAGGTGACGAGGCCGGAATGGGTGTCGTGGAAGAGGCCGGCGCGGGATGCGTGGTCGAGCTCGGCGCGCAGGCGGGCCAGGGCGGCGGGGTTGCGGAGGAGGTAGTAGAAGACGGCGGAGAGGCTGATGGCGGTGGTCTCGGAGCCGGCGAAGGCCATGCTGACGGCCATGGTCTGGACGAGGGTGTCGGTCATGAACTCGGGGCGGGCCTCGCGGGCGGCGAGGAACTTGGAGAGCAGGTCGGGTTGCTGTTGCTGTTGTTGTTGTTGTTGTTGTTGTTTCTCGCCGGGGGCGGTGGCGACGACGACGGGGAGCAGCGGTTCGTTGGCGTCGTCGGCGGGTGCCGGTGCCGGTGCCGGCTTGAGCTCGGGGAGGCGCTCGGCCATGCGGGCGCGGGCGAAGCGGGCGACGGGGAAGGTGGCGTCGATGAACCCCCACTGGGCGAGCTTGAGGTAGAGCGGGTTCTTGAGGACGAGGCGGTCGAGAAAGGGGATCTGGCCGATGGGGGCGACGTAGAGGAAGAGGTTGGTCAGGTAGGCGATGATGCCGTCAATGTCCTCGTTCTTCTCGACGAAGCCGTGGCGCTTGCTGTAGGTGATCTCGCCGATGACGTCGAAGGCGTAGAACTGCAGCCAGCGGGTCAGGTCGCAGCCCTCGGGCTTGGCGGCGAAGAGCTTCCTCGTCTGGCTGAGGAACAGCTTGGTGGTGTTGTCGACGAAGGGTTCGTACTGGACGAGGGCGGACATGGAGAAGGCCGAGTTGACGCATCGGCGGAACTGGGAGTGGAAGGTATTGTCGGTGGTGCTGAAGAGGGAGGGGAGACGGTTCCCCTTGACGACGGCCTGCTGGACGATGTAGAAGTCGGACTGTGGGTGGTGAGGTGAGTGAGGGGAAAAAAAAAAAAAAAAGGGAGGTCTGTTGTACCTTGATGAAGCCCTTGTTCAGGCCGTAGATGGTCTTGAGGGCGGCCGGGTCGGCGAAAGAAAGGGTATTGGGCCCCAAGCGGACGACGTCGCCATGCTTTTCGTGAAGGCTGCGGTGGGTAATCTCGGGACGTCGGTTCCAGACGTCGAAAAACCTCCACCAGTCGGTCAGGGAGGCCAGGAAGGGACCGGGGTACTCGTTCAGGCCGTTGTGGTAGCGGTTTCTGACGAGCCAAGCGAGGACGAGGGTGACGGCGATGGGAAGCCAATACCGGAGGAGGCCCTCAAGCAGTGATTCTGTGATGCCGTGCATTGTGATAAGGGCGCAAGGCCGGTGGAGGGGATGGGTAGACGTCGTTTGCGGTTCACGGTTTGAAGATTCGAAGGAGAGAGAACTGTAGGGTGTCTTGGGCTGCTTACTGGTAGGTGATGGGTGATGATGAGGCGAATGTCTGAATGCCGTCGCTTCTACAAGAGAAAGACCAGGACCAGGACCAGGACCAGGACGAGGGTGAGGGTGAGGGTGAGGGACTAATATGAAGGGAAGACGGGAACGATAGGGGTCAAATACGACGCAACCGGGTCACATGTCGGGAGTGATATGCCACATGGCGGAGAAGAGACAGAGACAGACGCAAGACACGGCGATATGTGGAGAGGTTGGAATGCGAGTATGCCTTGCCCCTGCTTGCCCCTGCTTGCCCCTGCGTGCCCTTGCTTTGCGTTCGTTGACAAGAGACGCAAGAGACGGAGGTTGAAGGAGAGGCCATGGACTAGAAGAAGAGGAATGCGCCTGCTTCGGTGCTTCGGCTTCGTACAGTATTACTGTATAACGTACAGCGTACAGCGTACAACGTACAACGTACGGATACCCCGTACTACTCCGTTGCTCCGCACTTAGAGGGAGGGCCCTGGGAACGTGGGAACCTGGGGTTAGCCGTTAGCAGGTCCATCCTCTGTGGGGAGTTCCGATGGTTGATGCCGACGAGGCCGTGTATGTAGGTTGGAAGGATATACGTGGTACTTTGTGTGGAAACGAGAGACGAGAGAATGAGGGGGAAAGTACAAAGTAGAAAGTAGAAAGTACCTTGGAAAGTAGAGCAGTGGGGAAAAGAGGCTAAACTTTCAGATCTGAGGGGTCGAATGATCGAAAGACTAAACTAAACCAGCCAAGAACGTGGAGTTGGAGTCAGGCCCTTCGGCAGATGATATGAAGAGACACCTACTGTAACCGTGGACGGGAGGCTGCTGATGCGACATGCATTGGTTTCCCTGTCTTTTGTCGTTGTTCTTCTTCTTTTCTTTTTTTTCTTTTTTTTCTTTTTTCTTCTTTTTTCTTCTTTTTTCTTCTTCTTTTTTTCTTCATAATCATTCGAAGCCCGGAAAATATGATTCCGTCTTCAATCCCTGATAAGGGAGCTCGGAATGAAAGACGAGAATTGTCGAGACGCAACCACGGTTGAGGGCGATCCACCTGCCTGTCCTGCGTCATACCATCTCCCTTTTCCGTTTCGTGGTTGGTGCGTTCCCTTTTCCGGTATACAATGTATTCTTTTCTTCTCCCGAGGTTTCGGGTGTTCGATATCGAAATCTCCGGAGCTCTTGGCTTGCATGGAAAGAGGATAAAAAAGATAACAAAGACGGACTAAAAGACGAGACTGAGACGGATGTGTTGGAGAAAAGAAAAATAGGGTGGAGGGCGTTGAGGGGAAGCTTCGTTCCGGACCCTGTAACTGCGGGGGAGGACCCATACCTATCGGTACATTGCTCGTTCCTCTTTACCTTACTAAGGTAGGTACACCACAGTGCGCTACACCCTAGGCTACAACGTACACTTTACAGATACGTCGACGGAATGTGACCCCACAAATCGACTGGCTGACACATCTGCCGAACACCTCCCTCCGCCCCCCCCCCCCCGCTCTCCAGCCTCGCCAACGTCAATCCCCCAACTTCCTAGTCGCAGCCCCCAACGAAGGCACAGGACCTGTCGGCATCGCGTCGCGGCAATCTCCCTCACATCATCTCTCCCAACACGAGCTATAACATCATCGTCGTCAGCTGTCAGCTGTCAGCTGTCAGCACAATAAACACACGGCAAATGGCGATAAGCAAATAGATTCTCCGAATCATCCCCGGGTATCATCCCACGAACGCCTTGGCTTCTCCTATCCCTCCCTGTCCGTCTTATCCCTACTCATCCATTACACACACGGATATCTTCATCCGCTTCCCACTTCACTACTCGCCGTACAATATGGTAAACGCCCTTCGAAGCGCCTCCGGCATCCGCCTCCCCTCCTTCTCCTCCGCATCCCGCGCAGCCGTCCGGATCAGCCCGATCATGTCCCAGATGTGCGCCTCGGAGTACGCAAAGCTCCACGCCATCGCCTTCGGGTCCGGTCGTTGCGAGTACCGCAGCACCCGGAGCACCTTGCCCATGACTTCTTCCGGGTACGACTGCCCCTCCCCGCCCTCTGCCTCGGTTTCCGCTTCCGATTCCGATTCCGTGCCGTCCTGTCCATGTTCGTAGTCTCCGTGTCCCCCCATCTCCTCCGGGTCGTGTCTGCTTCTTTGCGTGTACTGTATCACCGACTCCTTGAACCGTTGCATCTGGAGCCTCTCTTTTCTGCGCCAGACTCGCCTCTCCGCACGCCTCGCTTTGGCTTCTGTCCTTGCTCGTTTCCTTGTTCGTTCTTTGGCCGCCTGCCCCCTACTTTCCACCGCCCCGCCAAAACGAATATCCCCCCAAAAGTCCCGGCTGATGGTTCGGTACGCATTCTCCACCGTCGCGTTAAGACAGCAAATCATCTCCTTCAGTTCCCGCCGTGCCAACATGGCCGCCGGTAGCTTCTGGCCGCCCCCACCTCGCGGCTGCTTTTCCGCCTCCGCCTCCGCCTCCGCCGCCGACATGGCCACCTCGAGCCAGCCCAACCACGACAGCACCCGCCGCAGAAGCTGTAGCGTCTGCTGCGAGTGCCACGCTTTCACCGGCAGCCGCAGCCGCGGCCCCGGCCCCACATCCCCCTCCGCCGACGCCGCGGCGCCCGAGAGGTAGACCAGCTCCAGGACCAATACCGCTGCCGGGATGACCCGTTGACGCAGCGCCGCCGCCGCGTACCCACCGCGCCTCGCGCTAGTCGACCACGACGAGGACGACGAGGACGACGAGGGGCCGCCCTCGCCCTCGGTCGCAAGCGCAACCTGGATGACCAGCCTGTCTATCGACGAGGTGTACTGTCGCATAATGGCTTCGCAGTCGACGAAATACGTAAACTGCTCTCGCGATCCTGGCCGCCGGGGTATGTCCCTACAGATACGCGCCATGAGCTTCAGGAATCGTCCCAACCGGTCGATCGTGCCGTGTGCGCATCCTGCGCCGCCGCCGTCGTCTCGAAGAAAGCTGTCGGGGTTTTGCAAAAAAAGAGTATCCCATTGGGTCCCAGCGTTGGTCCAGCCCCCGGTTCCCATTAGTGCCACCATGGGTGCCATCTTCTCGCTCGGCACCGGGACCGTGCAGGGGGGGAATGTGCCGGGATCGGGCGACGTGATGAGCGACGCGTCCGCATGTTCCGGACGGGTGAATGCCGTTTCCGGCCTACCTCTCCGTACACCGCCGTTGCCCATGGCGACCTGCTTCTCCGGGGCCCGCGGTTCCCTCCTGCTTTCCGAAACCGGACCCACGTCCCGCTGATTCGCCGGGTGGTATCCCAGGTTAGGAGACGCTCGAGCCGAATGCGATGATGTCGTCGTAGGTCGCGTAGTACCCTTGGATGGTTCTGTTCCTCGTCGCCTTTTGCGGCTTTTCGGCATGTCCCATGGTATTCCTGTCCGCTTCAAGGTAGAATCAGGCCTGCTTGGGGGAGGTTCCGAGCGGCCGGCAGTGTCAGGTGGGTGTAGGCCGTCCTCCACATCCTCCTCCACATCCTCCTCCACATCCTCCTCCACATCCTCCTCCACACCCTCCGTACTCATTTCCGGCCCCTCGCCCGCAGTTCGCTGTGTATGCGCCACCTCTTGATCCCGACCAGCAAATCCATGAGGTTCGTTCGTGTCGCGGGTTTGGGTCCGCGTCGGCGTCGGCGTTTCGGAGTGAGGGACGGTTTTCGTGTTAGGAGTGGCCTTGGATGTTGTCGGTGTTTTGCGTGCCCGGGACTTTTCCATGGCCTGGTTCAAGCTGTCGAAATCAACCCTGACAAAGAGCTCGTCCTCGTCCTCGTCCTCGTCTTCGGAAGCGGGGTCTGAGGCATCATTCTGCTCCTTTGCCGTCGTGTTCGGGCGTGGAGGGAACGAGTCAAGCCCACCTAGCAGGTCCGCCAGCGCGGGGAGCGGGCTATCTGGCATGGCGGGCTATCTGGAGGCGAAGCCCCGGGGAGTTCCAGCAAAAGAAATGAGGCACGGAAGCCGGTGAGAGTTTTGAGAGGTAGATTCGCTGTAGCCCTTCGTCGAGGTGTTGGGAGCTCCTGGCCTGGGGAATGGCCCGGGGCTGAATTGCTGCTGCTCGGACTTTGGGGAAGGTACAAAGTGCCCTTGGTTTTATTACCATGTGATGTGCTCACATAACGCTAGTGTGGTGTTTGTCACTGCACAGCAGAGTATATGTACCTCGCTTATGTTGTAAGCAGCCAAGATACACCATAAGGTTCTATGGTCTAGTGGTTAGGACATTCGGTTTTGATTCGCTCTCGAAGCTTCAAAACTCCGAATAGCCCCGGTTCGAACCCGGGTAGGACCTCGTCTTTTTGTTCCATTTTTGGACCTTTTTATCTCGGCTTTTTTATTTTATTTTAAACTTTTAGTTTCATGACCAATATCAACATACATCGTCCTCCGTTCTTTTCTTTGTGATTTCGTTGATTTGCTTTTATCCTTTTATCTTTTTTTTTTTTTTCACCTCTTAAATTCCTTTACCTTCGTTCATAGAATCAATACCAACAACACTTAACACCATGTATCTATCTACTTGGAGTCTGCAAGTTCATAGTCCCAATATCTTTCTTTGACAATTTTCTAGCTTCGAGTTACAGAACTGTCGAGATGCACTCTACATCTTTCCACTTATTGTAAATTTCTTGCAATGAATGTCGATCCGGGTAATTCCTCGGGCTTTATCAGTAAGTACGTCAACCATGGCTTGAAAGAAATACGTCTTGTTCTGAACAACATGGTCTTCTCTTTCGAGCTCTATGAACTCTTAGACGGACAATGGAAGACAAGAGAAGCTATGTAGCTCCTATTGATGTACCTCGGGATATCTGACCATTTTTCATGCTTCCGGGTCCTTCTAGCTTGCTCCTGATATGCTTCGACTTCTTTACTTCATGTCCTTTTGGCCAATACCTGTAATATTTCAACACCAGAAACGCCTCGATGCCTCGAGCAGAACAATACCCAGTGTTATTCTCTTTCAAGTTGCACTCATCAAATAAACAGAACAGATGTGCGAATATTGCTTGAACACCAATGATTCAATGAACAGCCCCCCTGAGTAGCTCTTGTTCCTTCAGTGAGCTTCTGGACTTATATCTAAATCCAGCCAAACCCGGGCCCCCCTGAACGTTCTCTCAACTGTATAAGACGTCCATATCTCGAAACTTTGTCTGTCTGTCTTAGAGTCCTGGAAACAACAAAGCATGACAACAACCGCCCGGGACTTCACTTCAAATACCACCTCATAAGCATACCATCGCTCGAATGCAATGCGTCGACATGACTCGCATCTGCTCCTGCCACAGACACCCCCATCGTATCAAACAGGTGAACGACAACAACAACAACGATGGCCGGCCCGGTACCCTTTCTCTACGCTCCCATTGCATGTCGGAGCTCGTCAAAACCGTCATCCGTTTTCCTCCGGGGGAGGACCGGAGGCTGGACTCCTCTAAAGACATGTTGTCGGACTCCCTGATCGACGGTTGGCACAGCCTGTACGACCTGGACGAGGACGACGACCACGTCACCCGTTGCGCCGAGATCATCGACCAGTGCTTCTTCGGCGGCGCCCTGACTTTTGGGCACCACCTCGACATCACAGTCCTGAGAGACGACTCGCCCTTTCCCCCAAGCTCGACAGTCCTCGCCCCGCAAGCCGGAGAAAGGCTCGGTACCGCATCCGTGGCCCACATCACCCTCAACCCGCAGACTTTCATCGCCCACGGGACAAGTACGAGACGCCTCACGTTTGCGGAGGTCGTAGAGCAGCTGATTATTCGCATAGCGCACGCATATCTTGTCCTCTTCTCCCACCCCGGAGGCTGCGTCTCCGGAGGTTGCGCCTGCCGGCGACGGAGACGGCGGAACGCAACACAGGCAGATAACACCAAGCACAACATGGCAGTTCGCCGTGTGCTTGCTCATGTTTTCGAAACCATCCAGGATTGGAATTCGCTGTTGGAAGATTTTGGGCGCGGATATATTGACGGTTCAGACGATAGTCGGTCTGGGTCCGACACGACGTAGGGAGCATCGTGATACACACACACACACACACACACATATATATATAGATATGTATAAGAGCCTCAACTCTCAATATAAAAGTTCTCCAGTGTGATAATCTCAGTGAAATAAATCTACCTCAAAATGGCTAACCGCAGTATATCTAACTTGCAACCTAAGAAGTGCAGCCCCTTGACGTTGAAGTGATCAACCAAACGGGGACAGAAAACCGTCCCTTCTCGCCGGTAAACGCCGTGACTATGATAGCGCTGCAAAGCCCGCATCGAGAGTCCTTGCATCAATTTTAATTTTTTTTACACACACCCACCAACCCGTAGTAGTACAACATGGGCGCACGACCGGATCAAAAGCCCATGCCCCTGTCCGACTCCCCCGGTTTCGCCTGCGAGACCTTGACAGTAAACACATCCGTCCTGACAATGGCGCCGTCGCTCGGTAGCCTGTTGCGCTCCAAAATCGACTCCTGGCTGCTCTTCGACGCGGGCCCGCGGGTCAGCTCGTACTCGCTGGCGCCCTCCTCATTCTGCGCCGGCTTGCCGTGCATGTGGTGGCCGGAGCGGTGGACGGAGGGCATGTCGATGTCGGACTTGAGGTTCCTGGGTCCCGAGCGGTCGGTGCCGTAGTGCTGGTACTTGTAGCGCGGGTCGGATGAGCTGCCGAGGGCGCGCTTGCCGAAGAGGACGTCGACGAGGGGCTGGAGGATGGGGATGCAGGAGGCGATGATGATGGTGCTTCCTTCGACGCTGGAGAAGAGGTCAAGGCGTTAGTATAAAATAAATCGTTGAAAGGGCCTGTGATAGACTGTGCCAACGTACATGGTCCAGATGATGAGGTCGGAAGTATCGTCTAGAAGATCCAGTTAGACAACACAACACAATATCTCCACAAAGTGGAGGGGAGAGACAGCTTTGACGTACATGAAAAGTCGGGACTAGCGAGCGCAGGCAAACGAGTGCACTTGTAAATGGCGACGACAGTTGATCTGCAAACCGGATTGCTTAGTTGAGCACTTTGTGCGATGGTCGCTTTCCGACGTCACGTCACTTACACTGAGCCGATACCCAGAGCAACCGTAAGGGCAATCTTCTTCTTGACGTTGAGCTTCAACTTGGCCAGGACCAAAGCAGGGTAGATGGCGAGGTAAAGATCGACGAAAGCAGAGAAAGCTGCGTCATTCTTTCAGTCAGCTCAGCTGTGGTTGGAGGAGGAGAGAAGAGGAGCGCCGAGGGCGTTGCAGAGGAGACATGGATAGAGCTTACCGCCGGCAAAGATGGCATAGTGGACCAAAATCCACCGGTCCCAGCACACTCCCGGAACACTAAAGTTCCACTGCGACCTGGACGGCTGGCACTGGGCGAAGAGGATGACGGTGCAGCCCATCAGAGCGACGTTACAGAGGCCCGTCAAGGCCCATAGGAAAATGGTGTGCCACCTCGAAGGGTTCATGATGCGAGTAAGGAGAGCGACGACGGCGAGCTTGGGCACGCCAAAGGAGATGATTCCGGGTGGGAAGCCGACGATGGTCCATAGAATCACGTCCTGCTTCTGTTGTAGCGATAGCGTGTCGAAGTGTCTGCCGTTTCCGTTGGCCACGGCCGTTATGGCCATTGCTAATGATACCCATCCTGCTAACTTTTTGTTTTGTGTGCGAAACTCTGTCAGGGGCTGCGTTCGTTTTTTCCTCTTTTGCTCTGTGCTCGCTGGCTTCCCGCGGCGGAAGGGATAGAACAACAGCAGCTAGTTACTGCATGTGCGACTACTTACCACAGAAATAATAATAAGGTAGTCATCGAGATGTAGTTGCCTCAAGATCTTGCCGCGGACAAAAAGACGGGCTCCTGCGAAGAGGGTGCTGGCGATGGAGACGGCGATGGTGCTGCCGAGGATGCTCGGGCCCTTGTTTTCCGCGAGGTATGCGGCGGAGAAAGTCTCTTCTGCCGACATGGCTCTGTCTGTCTCTCTCTGTCTCTCACTCTGTCACTTGTGACAAGCGGTCGAGAATGAGGTATCACAAGGAAGGAGATGAAGGAAAAAAGGAACAAAGGAAGGTCGAACAGTGAAGCGGGCACTGGGAGTTGAACTTCAATTCTCGAGGAGCAAGAAGTCTTAGGAGGAACGGCCTCAAGTTAAGAACCGACGCATCATATTCACGAAAAAAAACCACCCCTGGAGAAGAGCAAGACAGAACGTATCCGTTGCCCTGGGCTGTTCCTGGGCCGTCCTTGGGTCTTTGCCAAAGGTGAGAGTTGATAGAAATGAGGCAGGGGAGGATGGAAGAGATCTGCGTCGGAGGACCCCACCGGTCCAGGGCATAAAGTGCTACCCTACGGCAGACACGATTTGCAGAGTCTGACGAGGTGAAGCGGATCTTTTTTTTTTTTAATTTTTTTTTTTTAATCAGACTGTTCCATCATATCATATCACACCTTCGCCGCGGAAGAATCCTCGTCT